ATCTAACATTGAAATGATTATAATTATGAATTAAAAGATTTAATAAAGGCTACTTTATGGTATTTGATATTTGTAGTTACAAAATGATATTCTTCTGCAACTTTAAAAATTATAAAGGAAGTTCAAAATGATAAGATTAAATGAATTAACATTATCTTTTGACCTATTTTATGTTTCTTCGTTTTCTTTTCTTTTTTATTTCTATACACACTTCCTATATACATTTTCTTTGTATTTTTATTAGAACGTATTTATATTTAGGAAAAACATTATTCACCTACTATAATTCTTAATGTGACTAGAAGATATTCCTTATTATGATTTATTTCTCCTTTTCTATTGACTTTACCTTTTATATATTCCTTAATTTTCATATAGTAGTTTTAACATAATGAATTTGAAAGTAAGTTTTATTTGCATAATATATATTGATATAATTTTAGTTACATATTGTTCAGTATTTTAAAATAATTCAGTTATTTAAAAATATATCATTTTTTACAAGTTTTTTTGTTTCAGTCTTTCCTACTGTTGTATGTACTAGTTGTGAAATAATAAATTTATTAAAATACTAATGATAACAAAAGTTAATATTTGTTTTAATAAATGTAGTTTATAATGTACAGGATATACCTAGTAACTAAATTGAACTATAACTATGTCTCTAGTGATAAAACAAAAATTATAGTCGAAAATTTTTTATTGTTTAATAAATTTTATCATTGTTTTATTTTTCACAATTTTTCTCAAAAGTGCATTAGTGTAATTACAAAGTGCAATTGCATTTATTTTCTTTAAATCCTACGATCTCTTTTGCGTAAATCGATTTCTTGTATTATTTTTTGTAAAAAGCTATAATTAAGATATGATATTAAAAGAAAATTAATATTTTGTAAGATATTTTTAATTTCCTCTATACGGTATCCATGTTAACGTTGAAATACCATATCACGTCGCTGTCATGTTTATTAACATTACTTACAATTCAACAGAATTTTCACGTCCTTATCAGCAGGATGGAACATCAGCTCATAATATTCGTTGTATATGGAGATATACAACATGAACCTATGGAAAAAAATAATTTGGGACTTATAGTTCAACATTTTAGCTATCGCATTCTACCGACTTAAATAATTTCTCTTAAGAAGCTTTTAAACAATAGGATTTTTCATTTCATTTACGATATAAAAATGACGAATTAAAAATTTAAATATGACTGCTGAACGACTGAACACTGTAATGAAAAATATAAAATAACAATAATGGCGGAACGTTCGAGTATTCTTTTTAAATATTAAGAAAAAATGATGAACATCTCAAAGAGTATTAATATTTTTAACATTACATTGTAATACTTATTTTTTTTCAGATGTTGAGAGGAATCGATTTATATGAAAAGATCGTGAAATTCTATTTAAAAAACAAGTATAATTGCATTGAGTTATTTATGAAAAAAATCGCACTTCACAATGATGGAACTCGTTAAACACTGAAAAATTTTGTCTTATAATTTTACTTATCCTCACTGGGAATAGAATTATAATAACAAAATTTAAATTAATTTACTTTTCTTGTACATCATAATTAATAGAATAAAATTGAAATTAAATCGAGAAAACTAATAATATACATGTTAATATAATAAACTGTTTTACTAATCATATATTATATGTTAATAATTATTGTTTGCAATATCTTTTTAAGTGTACAAAGATTCTGATAAGTATATACAATTCTAAATATCTAGGTCTACTGAATCATATATCTCCAAACAAAAACGTTAACAAATAATTTAGTAAATTGTTACTAGTTGTTACTAGTTTGTGACTAACATAACCTAATTTCATAAAATCGTAATGATAATCGAGAAATGTCTGTATATAACTTGAAGAGTATCTTAAAATAGTTCTTCATCTAAAATAATTTCTCTGTCTTAAAATAGATATTAATTGATCGTTAACAATTATACTGTGATATAAATCTTATCATCGAAATTATTCTAGTTGCTTCGTGACATATGTAATTACGTGATTTTAAATTTGTTATTTACCTGAAATAAAAAAGTCTTAAAATTAATAGAATTAAAAGCTGTCACATTAAAAGTTAAAATTATTTAGACTACTTTTCTTTTCATTAAATAAATCTGTATATAACACATCCTACATGCGCGTATGCGGAAACGACGCGTCTAATAATAGGCGACACGTTTACCGTCGACACTTATTGGGTAGCTTACTTACGAGATATATTTTGAAAGTAATGAGATTGACATTATAAAATGTATCTTATCGAGTATTTGAAAAGGAAGTTATCGTTAATGATTTAAATACGTTTCTTGGATTTGATTGGAAATCTATTCTATATTGTACTTCAGTGGAAGATATTTAAGGAGGGTATTAGACGATAATTTAGTTTTAGTTTAATTAGTTTAATAATTTAATTCATTCTAGTTTTTCTAGTTTTGTAAGGCACAAAAATATTATTAGTATTACTATTGCATTTGATACCCATAATAACATATTATAATTTATAAAAGAAGTATATATTAAAGTATATCTATATATGTATGTATAAAATAATATAACATATAATAGCAAAAGGTGTATTGCACACAATATATCAAAACCCAATGGTATTCTATTTTTATGAATAATATTTTAATGGAAATGTTTTTAATTATTCATTAATATTTATGTTGTAAATGACAAGTTAATTATAAATTAGAAGATTACACTTTAAATAGACGTGTTACGCTATTTAAATCTCCATTTAATGACCGATTGTATTCTTTTAAACAGTGATCGTTATATTCTTGAAGAGAGTATAGATACTATACATTTAATATAGCCATTCGTAGGTGCATACACTGCATGTATGATACTAGAATACAGAACGCGAGAGAATGATAGCATATCCTATGATTTTGAGTATTTCTCAAATAACTTCAAAGCGGTATATTTTGGCAAAAAAAAGAAAAAATATGATTATAAATCAAATTTGATTTTAGAAGGAAGGATTAGCACTAGGTCTATGATGCTGTTGACAAGAATTACTATTTTCGGAATATTTTCGTAAATGTAAAAAAGATATTGATACTTTTTTATTTGCATATTTCTTGAAACTAACACGATGGGCAAATTTTGCGGCCAGATTCGAATACAGAACAGGAAAATTCGTAAGAAATTTTTGCATCTCGAAATAACGAAACCTCGTTGATCTGCCTTTTGTTGTCGCGTCCATTTTTACACAAACTGGTTAAATTTGTAAGGAAAGAAAATGTGAACTTGAGTTTATCTTCTGTATCATTGAAGAAAGGATGGTTTACTTGGTATGTATGTAAAATTTACATACGCCGCATTAGTCTTGAGAAATACTAAAAATCATAGGATTCGTTATTATATTGTCGCGTACTGTACGTCACTAGTAATACCGTGTCCGTCTTGTAAGGGTTAAAGTTGGATGAACGTGTAACAAATTTAGTAATAAGTTCATTTTGGATTATAAGCACGCGCATCAGTTCCTAACCTAGCTTTTACGCGCCGGCTGACAAATATAATTGGAAGTACTTATTATGATATTACAAGCATTCTTGATATTTTGAAATTACCATAAATTTGAATTATTCCTCAAAAATAATATATATTTATATATTTATATGAATGTATTTACAGAACAGGTGGTACACGTGGATTACGTATGAGCCGTTAACAAAATCGTGCGAACGACTTAAGGTCTCGTTCGAATGAAATTTGTCGAAAGTTTTTCAATGTCGAATTGCAAGAACTTATGATTTTTTCTCGGAAAATAAGTTTTATATTAACCGGTATAAATACAAAATGGCGGTGCATAACGAGTTATTGTTTGATTTCAGACACCAGTACCAAGGATCATGGAAGTTGATAGTGAAATCGAATGAGAGTCTGTTCTCTTGAAAAGTGGAATTCGCAGTGCAGGAAAAGTGAGCCGGTAGGAGTAAAAACCAGGGGAGAAAGGAAAAGCAGAGCACAGCGTCGTTGAGAACTGATAAAAGTTAGTTAAAAAAGGGCAGAAAGGGACTTAGGAACGGAGAAGATTGAACTAGAAAGGAGTATCGGAAAGCGAGTGCACATATTCGTGGATTGCGTAATAAAAAGGGAGAGAGAGAGAGTGAAAAAGAAAAAAACTCAGCGTGTCTGTAAATAAGAGTTATTTTTCGTATGAGGGAAAAGGAGATACATTTGCGTCAAGACGAGGAGAAACGAGTGAGAAGACGTTTAGAAGTCCTTGAACGAAAGAAGGTTCGGAGGACTTTCTCTCTCTCTCTCTCTCTCTCTCTCTCTCTCTTAGAAAGACATACGAGAAAGGTGATAGAACACTAGTGACGGAGAATAGGAAAGAAGCAAACGAAGGGGAAAGGGATACAGTGTCACGATTATTATCGAGCCTTTTTTCTATAGCCTTCATCCAAAATCGATCGTGTTTCTTCCACTTCTAGAAGAATATTATTCGCGAAAGTGACTAGTTTAGATTTAAAAAGACTGAAAAAATTTTCACGGAGAGCAAGAGAGAGAGAGAGAGAGAGAGAGAGAGAGAGAGAGAAAGAGAGAGAGAGAGGGAGAGAGAGAGAGAGCGCATATAAACGGAAGTAGTATAAGAAGAAAGAAAGAAAGTGGAAAAGAGAGAAAGAGAGGGAGAGAAAGAGAGGAAGCGAGAGAGAGAGAGAGAGAAAGAGAGAGAGAAAGAGAGAAAGAGAAAATTGACGAAAGAAGCTGAAAAAACGAGGGTGTAGTGATTGAGAGAAGAAAGAAAAAAGAAAGAGACCGTGAAAAAGAACACCTGGAAAAGAAGGGCTGAAGAGAAAGAAAGAAGAGAAAAAGGGAAGTGTGCGGTGAAGAAGGGAAGGAGGGAAAGACAGAGTGCGCGCTGTGAAGCGGTATTGAGAGGGCTGGCGTGCCCCATGTTGTGAGCGTCTGAAGACTGCCGGGGGCAGAAGTGAAAGGGTGGGAGGGAGGGAAGGGTAAGGGTGCCGCTGGTATGGAGTATGAAAGCGTCGGGGGCGGAGGCGGTGGGGGCCGTGGGGGTGTCCAACCAACCTCTGCAGGTGCGAGGGGTATGGCGGGAACAGACACTACTGATGCTGCATGGCACAAACATGAACAAATGATCCTTATGGAATCCAGGCATAAGCAACAATGTAAGTATATCGATCAAAATTATGCTATTTTTGAAATTTAATTTGAGAGATTTGCATACAAAGTATTTCGTACTGCTTCTTTCATTTGGCCAGGCAACTGAGATCTTCTCAATATGTGTTGGGTGATAAAACAATTTGTTACGATTGTTCGTTACATGTCTTATAATACAGGTCAGTTATCGAGAATATTTCATAGGGAGTCAATTAGGTATTGGTTTTTGAATAATTGAATTCTATTGTATACTTTATTGAATTTCGAATTTATTAAGTTTCAAAATAAGAATCAAAGTGTTAATAAATTATCAACTCCATTGAGAATGTTCATTGGTAATTTACGTTATTATTATTACGTTTTTAATCTTGAATTATTCGATTCGTGTTAGCTTTTACCGGTGATTGTTATCTAGTACAAAGTACATTCTGGTTATTTTAATCTAGATTACCATTAACGTTATCTTAATAATGATAAGCAATCGGAGTACGAAGAAAGTTTTACGCACGTTAGAACTTCAGAAATTTATACTTTATGTACATATTTTTACTATTAGTATTCAAACGGGACAGTGGTATTGAATGCGGCTGATCTTTATAGTAATAAAATACTATTCGATAGAAATTTTATAAATAATGAGTGAAATTATGAAATGATATATATATAATATTATACTACTTATATATATCATTTCATAATTTCACTCATTGTTTATAGAATTTCTATATTCTTGATGTTTAATTCTACTTACAATTCTAGAAATTTATCTTTTCGATATTAAACGTTCTAGCTTTATATATAAATAATTCTTAATAAGTGGTTTTAATTATTCATGGAAGTTCTTTACGAATTACATATAGTGATTCTTCGTAACAGACATATTATTAGTAAAAAAAATTTGACATTGGAAATATGTTACATTTCTGTATATTTTATTCAAACGAATTTTGAGGAACATTGAAATATATTAGATTTTAGGAAATATTTTAATGTTATTTTTGCATGCATATATTGTCATATTGCCATTGCATACTATATATTATTACTACTTTCCTATGCAGTGGACCCTGAATTAGGGTGGCTTCTTTTTATTCTGGTTAGTGCCTATCTCCACCTTGTTTGCAACTCGCTAGATTGTACCTACTTTTCTACTTACATCGACTATCCGAAGAAATGAATTATTCGATAATAAAATCAACAGTTACTATACTTTACATTATACATCTGTATGAATATTATCAATTGATAGGTATCTCTTTTGCTTTGACAAATGACATGTTTGAGCTCAGTTTCACCTGGAAAATTTGTTCGATTATTGATAATATTTTCATACCCATATATACTTATACACGAAAGTATTCGGATACTCGTATTTTTCTACGTTTAACAAGTGAAATATTTAAGTTAAATTGAGATGTTTAAAGTAACATAGTGTACATAGTAAAAAGGAAGTTCTAAGGCTATATCATTAAAATTGAAAAAATAATTGGACGATGTATACGATACGGTCAGTACATTTAGCACGAATACCGTGGTGGCGCTAGGGTATTCAATGAAAACCCGCCGTAGGGCTGTATAACAACAAAAAATGGATAAACAATATATTGAAGCTTTTCATTTATCAATTAATGGTACTTCCGGTTATTATTACTCACTTTTATAATTCACTGATAACGCATATCTGTGATAAATGTATTGTAAATGCTGTATATATGCGCGTTTGCTATGTGTATCATATTATTTCAAACATTTCAATTTAATCTGGATATTTCACTTGTAAAAAGTAACAAATTCGAACATTCGAATACTTTTGCGTATAAGTGTTGATCCATATTAAACAATGAAATCGAGAATGGAATGATCTTATACAGAAGAATGAACCAGTAACGTAAAATACAATTTTTTGATCGGTTACATTTTTAAATAAATTAAATTTGGGAATTCTATATAAATAAGCGAATTAAATCCTCTAATTACAAATATCTTCTAAAATAGAGATTGTTATATAAAATAATATTAATCATACATTAAACAATTTCAATATTCAAAGTAATCTTAATATCTCGATAAAAATTATATGCTCTATTTGTTATTAAAATATAATATAAAATATTATTAAACACGTATTAAAATATTTCAAATAATTTATTTGAAATATTTTTTCCATGATAAACAGTACGTAAGTAAATTCAGGTAATAGAATTAAACGAGTCATCCTGAACATCAGTAAAATAGTACTAAGTGACAATAAGTAAACAATTAATTACCTTCCAAGATCGGTAAATACAAATATAAATTTTCTTTTTGTAACTCCACGTTTGCACAATTTTCAAGTTCAATTTTCATGAAAACGAGGCTTCATATCATAAAATTTTATTCTACAATTTCTACTTGTTTTTATGTATACCGAATTCCTTTGTTCTCTAAGAACAGAATTATTTATTAAAATTATTTAATTAATTATTCTTTAAGAAGTATACTAAGTAACTAAACTATGTGCAACTAAATGAGCAAAATTTTTAATCTTCGTTTCATAATGATCCAATCACCTCGATAGCAGGTTGTTGTCCATTCATCGCAGACATGTTTCATTGTTGCTCCATTTTAATTTTTCTTTTTACAATATCCTTTATTAAACGGTACTAAAACAAATAAATTAACGAAGAAAAATTTTCTTTAGTAAAACACTATTAGTAGTTTGATTTTGCAGTCCCAAACAACGTTAGACTGACTCAAAGACCTGTATGGTAAATGTATTCTCATATTGCATACAAAAATTGCAAGTTTTATCATTTACGTATACATCTTATAAGAAAATGCGGTTTAGTCATCGACAATTTTAAAAGCTACTATGTAATGGCGTAGTTTCAATTCGAGCTGGGTTGTCAACAGTATCCTTATCTATATATGGTACCTGGAAGTAATCTTACGTGGACATTGGTATTTCTATACTGAGTTTGAATTTCCATTAAATTACAGTTATGATTATTAATAGCTTGAAAAGATAAGAGTTACGTAACACTCATAAGAACATTCAAAATAGGTTTCTTCTTTATTTATTTATTAACTAAAGAATATATGTGAAATACTTGCATATAATTATATCTCTTAGCAAGAAATAGGACAAATATTATTTCATCATTTTTGAAAAATTATTATAGATTGTAAAATTAATACTTGATATAAATTACTAATTTAATTACTACTTAATAACAAGTAAGTAGAAATTAATTATTCGTGTACCTATTGAACAAATAATAATATACATATAGGTAGATAAATATTAATAATTAATAAGAAATAATGAAACAAACGCAAAACTATGAAATAGACAGTTTTATACGTTTTTATTAATCCATGTTGGTTTTTTATTCGTGTAAAGGACAACAGTGAAACACGTAGATCTCGAGCTTTTCGAATTACTTTGTTCGTAATGAAGATAGCGATTTCATGAAAATCGGCTTAATAAAGTAACGAAAAGAAGGACAATAATCTGTATAGAATATATCATGAATAAGAGCAGAGAAAGTCGAATTTATAAGTAGCGAAACGACGTTGGCAATAGTATAGTGGGATCCATTTTTGGACTGATGCCTGATCGGCGACTCTCGAAAAATTTAAAGACTTTAGACTAGACTGTTCGGCTGGCTACTGACTGATATGTATTTTCGACTTGGCACTCCATCCCTCTAGCATCATCTCTTTGTCTTTTCGCTTCCTTCTACTTCTAACTTCATTTTATATCACCCGGTTAAAGAACCGATACTGGCAAGCGTTGAACCTTTCGAAAGAAAAACAATTGTATTATTTTTTAAATGGACATTTCGAAATATAAAAGAAATTCGAAATTTTTGAGCAACTGGAATGTTTCTAAATGTAAAAGATAATTTTTGCTAATATTTCTTGGTATATTTAATAATTTAATAATTTGGAAATATAAAGTCAATTGCAAAGTTTTTGCTAGCTGAAATATTTTTGGATATACAAAACAATATTAGATAATGTTGCTTTATACATTCTTCAATAATTTTATAGATTATATTTAATGATTTAATAATCTGGAAATATAAAAATGACAAAATTTTCAGACAAGTGGGAACGTTCTTAAAAAAAGAATAATTTTAAAGAATCTTTTTATATATTCTCGAATATTTTCTTAATATTTATGAAATATAATGTAATTCAATTCAAACTATTTGAAATTAGTAATTGAGATGGAGGTTTTATAGACGTATTTTTCTTTTTTCTTTTGGAGGAGATTTTGGATGTTATAAAATGATTCAAAGAAAATTGCCATTTCAGGTGACATATGTATTCTACAAGATTTTATTAAAAATGTCTATCTGTATTTATCAGTCTATCTAAATTCATCACTGATCTAGGGGATCTAACGAAGTTGATCTTATATAACATAATTATATAATTATAATTAGACTGATATTTACATTATAATTATATAATTGTGTATATTACATAAAATAAGTTTATACTTAATGAATATTAAAATTCATTTAATTTATATTTAATTAATTGAATATTAAATGTCGAATTTTAAAGGTTAATAATCTTGTCCAAATTTAACATCTATTTATTAATACTAGTAGTCGTGTGTAATTAAAGTATTACAAGAATTTTCCAACAAGAATTTGGAATTATAATACTCAGATTAATTTTAATATTCAATACTCAATTATTTTAATACTCAGTAATTTTAATACTCAGATTTTGCAAATCTGAGTGTAATTTATTGATAAATGCATTGAGATATGCATAGAAAAAAATGTATAATTGGCCTTATGCAGCAAATTAATAAGAATTTTTAATACATACTTCTCTTAGCAACGTCCTTTAAGGTGGCACGTTTTGCATAATCAACATCTAGCTTGTAAAATAATTCCGCTATTTCGAATTGAGCAACACGTAGCTGAGTCATTTGAGGATAACTACTTGAGTTTCACCTGAATAACTGTACGTAGAATTTAAGAAAAGCTAATTGTGTTGCAATTCA